AAGGGGGGGAGGGAGAGAGGGAGAGAGAGAGGTGGGGGAGAGAGAGAGAGAGAGAATCACTGCCAGTGGTTAGATCGGATCTCTCTCTCTCTCTCCCACCAACGTCAGCAAGCCACTGTCAGTCAAAATTCATATTATTGGTCCGCGGAATTTAAAATTATGAGTTTGGTGGTCCCTGAGGTCCAAAAGGTTGGCGACTCCTGACCTCTCTCCTATTAATCCTAATGAAGCTTTATTTCAGGAACTGGAGTCCTAGTTTAAAAATCCAGATGCTCTGACCTAAAACTTTGTGCACTGTTTATTTACTTGGCTTTAAGTTTTTAAACAAGGAATGTGATGATTGGGAAGCCTGGGGTGGGTGGGGGGGAATAGAACACAGCAGCTTACATTTCCTATCAGTTTGGTGTGATTCAGGAGCCTTTACCTTCAGGAGGTAAAATTCAGGAAGGTGGCTGTTTGTTTTATTAAATACCAAAATGAAAGCTGGCAAGCAGCTGCTATCCAAAAGGTTTATTTCTGAATGAAATAAACCTCTGGATGAAACCAAGCAACCAAGCAATCATTATTCCAACATCTACATTATATCCCTAAAAGAAAAACCCCAGCATCAGCATAAGAGCTACTTACTTGCTTAAGCTGAGGGAGAGTTTGTCCCCACAGGCACGGATCTTGTTCTGGGCTTCAATGTGGGTCATGGTGCTGGTGCTGTCTCCATCAATGCTGAGCACCCAGTCCCCAACTCCAACTCCTGCCTGGGCTGCCTTGCCCCCAGGGGTGAGCTGCGAGGAAAGAAAAAGTTATTTCCAACATGAAAGACATCATTAATGGAACAAAAATTCTTCCGATGCTAATAAGCAATGGAGCTGGATTAGGAGAAATGGGAGCAGACACAACTCTCTCTTGTTTTTCTCTATGCCCTTATACTTTTTTGCTAAATAACATGTGTAGTTACATTATTTATTCTCAAAGAAGTTTCTTAAAAAATAATGGTGCTTGGAAGCAGCATGATATAGCAAGCTAAGGGACACACCTGAATGGTAGCAACCCATATTTTTGCTAAGTCATATTTCTCAGAGTTTTCCCAATCTCAGAGGGACATTTCAAAGTGCTCAAGCAAAATATGCATTTAAGAAGAGTTTGTGTTCACTACAGAAGACCTATTGGCCCTGTCTTCCTGCTCATTAAACTCTAAAGCTACTCCTTCAAGGTTTATAAGCAAGGTGGATTGATGCTACCGTATCTTTCAGCAAGAAGGCAAACCACTAACAGTCCAAAGATTTGCTCATCATCAAGTTGTCTCTCCAAAACTTTCAAATGTGTTAGTATTGTTTTTATACTGGGAAGACCACACGTGGAATACTATGTTCTGGTCACCACTATATAAAAAAGATGTTGAGACTCTAGAAAGAGTACAGAGAAGAGCAACAAAGATGGGGACTGGAGGCTAAACCATATGATGAACGATTGTGGAAAATGGGACTGTCTAGTCCAGAGGTCTCCAAACTACGGCCTGCAGGCTACATCCGGTCCTCCAGAAGGTTCCTTCCAGCCTACCAGCCTCCTCCAATGTGCTCTGCTCTGATCCTTTCCAAACAGCACAGGGAGAGAAAGCAGGGCTATATTCACCACTGTTTGGAAAGAAAGGTAGGAGTCCTTCGATTTCTCTGGTGTATGTGTGTGTGTGTGTGTGTGTGTTACATTGAGCAAAATAAAACACATTTATTTAATTACATTTTATTTGCTCATTTGTAAAATTGATTCCCCTTCCAAACACCTGAACGTTTGCAAAATGCCCAAGAAGAGTTTGGAGACCCCTGGTCTAGTCTAATGAAGGGAAGGAGTAGGGATGTCATGATAGCAGTCTTCTAATATTTGAGGGTCTGTCATAGAGAAGAAGGGGTCAACTTATTCTCCAACTTATTCTTCTGCTCACGCAGGGGGTGAGACTAGAAAATCTGCACAGTTCCTTCCAACTCTGTCATTCTGTATTCTGTCAAATTAAATATTACAGTACTGCCAGTGCCAGGCTGAGCTATCTTTACGTATTGTAGCAGATGTGTCCATGTCGGGGAGAAATAAAGGTAAGTGGACTAAAAGTATTCTCTGTCATGTTTCCTTTATTATGGAGGAATGGTCTTGCCTAGTATTTTTTTTTCTTTCACCAAAAAAAAACAAATAAAAACAAACACACAAACAATACGTTCCTCATAGCTAGTCTCATTCTGCTCAGGGCATTGAAATAAAAACAGTTTCAGACATGGAATCGGATAAATCCTTTGATGTCTTTGAGGCTTCAGGCAGCTCAGAAAGCAATCTTTTTTTCCCCATTAAAATCTTCCTCCAAAATATCCTAAGCTGCAAAAGGTGCTAAGATTGCCTTCCTGCCTACAGCTTATTCAAGAGGGTGTTGGTCTATCCTGCCTAAACATAATAAATACAGAATTAATTTCCTTTTCTTTCAGCACTCCATTCTTTGATATTTGAGTGTGTTCCATACTAAATCTTTTTTGGCCAAATGTGCAAATATGCAGTTCCATTTCCAAGAGACTTAGCAAAGGATAACAAACATCTTACCATTTTGTTTTCCTCTATTCTTTCTTTTTCTCCCTTTGCCCCTTTCTTTGATTCTTAGGTAAGTATTTTTAACTAGATCTTAAGCTAAATTGTACAGTGGTGAGTCTGTGGCAAGCCTCTACTGCCGGTATGTTACCCTGGAATGCCTAATGGGGCAGTGAAAATCAAGCTGGCTTTGTCCACAAGGAAGGGAGAGCTCTAACTATAGTACTTACTAGCAATCCTAAGAAGAACATGATTCTGGGCCCTAGGCCAGGATGAAAAGAGAAAGGGAGGTTGCAGCATTACATTAATGTGTGTAACTGCCTACCTCAAGGGGGAGTTGTAGTCATGGTTTCATCACATTAGTTTTTCTGGAATTTTTCAGGGAAGCTTTACAAGATGGTTATCAAGCAGGTTTTTATAAAAACCCCAAAATGCAAGTCAATATAAACAACCAAAGCAGCATAGTGATGGATTAAGAATGAATCTGTACAAGATGAGAGCTAAAAGAGGTAAACAGGGTGAGCCAGGCTGCTACCACTGCAACATCTGTACAGATGTAGAGATTTTGTTAGATGCTAAATGTTTGATTCCTGCGTTATAAGCTGAAACCTGCAGAAATGCCTTCAATGATAGCTGGCAACCCTAGCAGATTCTCCATCACTCCATTGCAGCAGTCAGGTTATCTAGTAGAGCCATTGCAAATAAAATAAAAAATTGAGCAACCAATGCACAGTGCTTGAGCAATAAAGCACATTCTTTGGAAGGCCTCAAGGCCTGTGGGAGAGTTTAGACTTGCTGATGAATGCAGCATATCCTACAGAACAACCTCAGCAGAGCTGAGCAGGTGTGCCAGCTACTGATCCAAAGCACACTCCTTAAGTTAGGCCTTTACATTGGAGCATCGTCAATTGTCAGGCAAGTGGCAGAGATGGTGCACCTGATGTTATTTGTGACATTCCGCTAATAAAGCCAGGTAAGTCAGAAAGCCCTTGCCATCTAGCAACACGCCTCCCCATGAAATATTTGGCTTCATATTCCCTTTGCTTCTATTTGCATCATTCCCAAATTTAGCAGCTGTGTGCTCACATACACAAACGGTCCTTTGAGGACAGCCCAATCAAGACTATCTGAACAAGCTGACAAAACTCCTCACCTTCTGAACACTGGAATGTGGGAACCTAATTTCCACAAAGCATACTGATTTTTTTTTTAAAAAAAATACTATTGGTGTATTAAAGATTATTTGAAAACAGAAGGAGGAATTAAAATATTTCTTCAATTTTCAGACTGGGCTGTCCTTGGCTCTCTTCTCTTTGCTCTCTTTCTACCTTAATTAGATGTCTTTACACATTACCTTCTTAGAAATGCAAACAACAATCATATTCAGAAAACTACTATCTGGACACCTAAGCCACACTATTGTAAACAATTGAAATGTGGCCTTCACACGATGCTCTGAAGAGCAACTGTGCTTGCAGGATCGGCCATCAAAACCTCTAACAGAAGAATAAAGTCTCCACTTTCCCTGCAAGATTGGAATCCTCTGTCTGGAAGCCCAAATAAAAGTCGTTCAAAATTAGAGCTGGCTTGTTTGCTTGGTTATTTTTCCTTCCCCGTCAAAACATCTTAAACTAAAAAAGCAGAAATAAAGCACGGGCACCTGCCTATCGTAATAAGTAAACATTCCTGTGATTACAGAATATCCGTTTAAAAAAGTTGTTTTAAAATTTGAAAATTTGCAGGGGGAAAAACGGCAACCTGCTACCAATAACTGCCGTTTTCTAAAACCAACGGATTATGATCATGTGGAGAGCTACATCCACCCTAAATGATCACACAAGGAATTGGAATACCTTTCCGCTCTGCTTTCTGAGTATCAGAACTCTGCCCCAGCCTCCTGAATTAGGCAAAAGGCAGGCTTCTGACAACAGCAAATGTGGCACTTCCAGAAAGCACAATAACATTCTCCTACTACTCTTATTGCCTTCCAACTGATTTTGACGGGTCCGTCCTCTGATACTGCGCATAACAACTGATAGACCATGTGCATCTGATAGTCGCATCTGGCATGACTTGATCTAAATATTACATCCTCTGGGAATGAATCCCACCATTCGGTGTGGTATCTATAGCTAGGTCTGCACAAACAGAGCTGTGTGTTCCAAGAAGGCGAAAGCACAGGCACTGGGTCTTCAGCACAGTTTTTGTGCACCGCAGGTTGGGATGTGTGAGTTTGCTTTGGGAGTGGGGAAGGTTCATGTTCATAAAAGCAAAATGAATAATGAATTAATTTGAGTGCAGTGGTGGGATTCAAAAATGTTTACTACTGGTTCTATGGGCGTGGTTTGGTGGGTGTGGTGTGGTGTGGCATGGCTTGGTGGGCGTGGCAGGGGAAGGTTACTGCAAAATCCCATTCCCTCCCCACCCCATTAACCTGCTTTCCAGCTCCGTTCTCCTGTGCAAGGCAACCAAAGAAGATCCAACCAATCAGCTGGGACTTGGGAGGCGGAGAGTAGATGGGGCAGAGCCAGTCAGAAGTGGTATTTGCCGGTTCTCCGAAATACTCAAAATGTCTGCTACCAGTTCTCCAGAACTGGTCAGAACTTGCTGAATACCACCTCTGTTCGAGGGGACTGGAAAAAATGAAATACTTGTTTATGGAATGCTTGACCTGCTGAAACAAAAACTGGATATACAAGGGAATTAGGGTTTTTTTGTGTGTGTATGCCATTCTACTTACACCTTCCACCCAAGTGTTTGGCGAAATCACTTGCCTTTATTTTACCCATCTTTTCTTCTTTAATGGGATATTTGTGACTGGCTACACACTCCCATCTTTATCGTTTGGTGACATTCTTAAAATTCATAAAGTCTTAAAATTTGAGATACGCCACACACCTTCAGAATGAACCTTTTTCAAGACAAATTTGGATTGTTTATTTTATTTTTTTGAAAAGGGATCAGGCAAAATTGCATCCCTAAGATAGTTTTAAAATAGGGCTATTTGTAGTCTACAGAGAAGGACTAAAGATGATTGCAGTTGTGCAAGTGATATAATTCTGCAGTTTGACCATCATTTAAATCCAGATTGCAAGTCTGTACTGGGTTGCGGTATCTGTGAATCTAGGGAAGCAAAATCTAATTTACCAAAGTTCTTGCTGCACTAAGTATTTCAGATACCATGATGCAATAGGTTTCTACACAGTTAAACAGAAAAAAA